GCTGTCAAAGGACACCAGAAACCAAAATTGTAGACCTGCACCAGGCTGGGAAGACTGAATCTGCAATAGGTAAGCAGCTTGGTTTGAAGAAATCAACTGTGGGAGCAATTATTAGGAAATGGAAGACATACAAGACCACTGATAATCTCCCTCGATCTGGGGCTCCACGCAAGATCTCACCCCGTGGGGTCAAAATGATCACAAGAACGGTGAGCAAAAATCCCAGAACCACACGGGGGGACCTAGTGAATGACCTGCAGAGAGCTGGGACCAAAGTAACAAAGCCTACCATCAGTAACACACTACGCCGCCAGGGACTCAAATCCTGCAGTGCAAGACGTGTCCCCCTGCTTAAGCCAGTACATGTCCAGGCCCCTCTGAAGTTTGCTAGAGTGCATTTGGATGATCCAGAAGAGGATTGGGAGAATGTCATATGGTCAGATGAAACCAAAATAGAACTTTTTGGTAAAAACTCAACTCGTCGTGTTTGGAGGACAAAGAATGCTGAGTTGCATCCAAAGAACACCATACCTACTGTGAAGCATGGGGGTGGAAACATCATGCTTTGGGGCTGTTTTTCTGCAAAGGGACCAGGACGACTGATCCGTGTAAAGGAAAGAATGAATGGGGCCATGTATCGTGAGATTTTGAGTGAAAACCTCCTTCCATCAGCAAGGGCATTGAAGATGAAACGTGGCTGGGTCTTTCAGCATGACAATGATCCCAAACACACCGCCCGGGCAACGAAGGAGTGGCTTCGTAAGAAGCATTTCAAGGTCCTGGAGTGGCCTAGCCAGTCTCCAGATCTCAACCCCATAGAAAATCTTTGGAGGGAGTTGAAAGTCCGTGTTGCCCAGCGACAGCCCCAAAACATCACTGCTCTAGAGGAGATCTGCATGGAGGAATGGGCCAAAATACCAGCAACAGTGTGTGAAAACCTTGTGAAGACTTACAGAAAACGTTTGACCTGTGTCATTGCCAACAAAGGGTATATAACAAAGTATTGAGAAACTTTTGTTATTGACCAAATACTTATTTTCCACCATAATTTGCAAATAAATTCATAAAAAATCCTACAATGTGATTTTCAGGATTTTTTTTCTCATTTTGTCTGTCATAGTTGACGTGTACCTATGATGAAAATTACAGGCCTCTCTCATCTTTTTAAGTGGGAGAACTTGCACAATTGGTGGCTGACTAAATACTTTTTTTCCCCACTGTATATGTGTGTGTGTGTGTGTGTGTGTGTGTGTGTGTGTGTGTGTGTATGTGTATATATATATATATGTGTATATATATATATATATATATATATATATATATATATATATATATATATATATATATATATATATATACACACACACACACACAGTGGGGAGAACAAGTATTTGATACACTGCCGATTTTGCAGGTTTTCCTACTTACAAAGCATGTAGAGGTCTGTAATTTTTATCATAGGAACACTTCAACTGTGAGAGACGGAATCTAAAACAAAAATCCAGAAAATCACATTGTATGATTGTTAAGTAATTAATTTGAATTTTTTTGCATGACATAAGTATTTGATACATCAGAAAAGCAGAACTTAATATTTGGTACAGAAACCTTTGTTTGCAATTACAGAGATCATACGTTTCCTGTAGGTCTTGACCAGGTTTGCACGCACTGCAGCAGGGATTTTGGCCCACTCCTCCATACAGACCTTCTCCAGATCCTTCAGGTTTCGGGGCTGTCGCTGGGCAATACGGACTTTCAGCTCCCTCCAAAGATTCTATTGGGTTCAGGTCTGGAGACTGGCTAGGCCACTCCAGGACCTTGAGATGCTTTTTACGGAGCCACTCCTTAGTTGCCCTGGCTGTGTGTTTCGGGTCGTTGTCATGCTGGAAGACCCAGCCACGACCCATTTCAATGCTCTTACTGAGGGAAGGAGGTTGCTGGCCTAGATCTCGCGAAACATGGCCCCATCCATCCTCCCCTCAATACGGTGCAGTCGTCCTGTCCCCTTTGCAGAAAAACATCCCCAAAGAATTATGTTTCCACCTCCATGCTTCACGGTTGGGATGGTGTTCTTGGGGCTGTACTCATCCTTCTTCTTCCTCCAACAAGGCGAGTGGAGTTTAGACCAAAGAGCTCTATTTTTGTCTCATCAGACCACATGACCTTCTCCCATTCCTCCTCTGGATCATCCAGATGGTCATTGGCAAACTTCAGACGGGCCTGGACATGCGCTGGCTTGAGCAGGGGGACCTTGCGTGCGCTGCAGGATTTTAATCCATGACGGCGTAGTGTGTTACTAATGGTTTTCTTTGAGACTGTGGTCCCAGCTCTCTTCAGGTCATTGACCAGGTCATGCTGTGTAGTTCTGGGCTGATCCCTCAACTTCCTCATGATCATTGATGCCCCACGAGGTGAGATCTTGCATGGAGCCCCAGACCGAGGGTGATTGACCGTCATCTTGAACTTCTTCCATTTTCTAATAATTGCGCTAAACAGTTGTTGCCTTCTCACCAAGCTGCTTGCCTATTATCCTGTAGCCCATCCCAGCCTTGTGCAGGTCTACAATTTTATCCCTGATGTCCTTACACAGCTCTCTGGTCTTGGCCATTGTGGAGAGGTTGGAGTCTGTTTGATTGAGTGTGTGGACAGGTGTCTTTTATACAGGTAACGAGTTCAAACAGGTGCAGTTAACAGGTCTGTGAGAGCCGGAATTCTTACTGGTTGGTAGGTGATCAAATACTTATGTCATGCAATAAAATGCAAATGAATTACTTAAAAATCATACATGTGATTTTCTGGATTCCGTCTCTCACAGTTGAAGTGTACCTATGATAAAAATTACAGACCTCTACATGCTTTGTAAGTAGGAAAACCTGCAAAATCGGCAGTGTATCAAATACTTCTTCTCCCCACTGTGTGTATATATATATATATATATATATATATATATATATATATATATATATATACTGCTCAAAAAAATAAAGGGAACACTGAAATAACACATCCTAGATCTGAATGAATGAAATAATCTTATTAAATACTTTTTTCTTTACATAGTTGAATGTGCTGACAACAAAATCACACAAAAATTATCAATGGAAATCAAATTTATCAACCCATGGAGGTCTGGATTTGGAGTCACCCTCAAAATTAAAGTGGAAAACCACACTACAGGCTGATCCAACTTTGATGTAATGTCCTTAAAACAAGTCAAAATGAGGCTCAGTAGTGTGTGTGGCCTCCACGTGCCTGTATGACCTCCCTACAATGCCTGGGCATGCTCCTGATGAGGTGGCAGATGGTCTCCTGAGGGATCTCCTCCCAGACCTGGACTAAAGCATCCGCCAACTCCTGGACAGTCTGTGGTGCAACGTGGCGTTGGTGGATGGAGCGAGACATGATGTCCCAGATGTGCTCAATTGGATTCAGGTCTGGGGAACGGGCGGGCCAGTCCATAGCATCAATGCCTTCCTCTTGCAGGAACTGCTGACACACTCCAGCCACATGAGGTCTAGCATTGTCTTGCATTAGGAGGAACCCAGGGCCAACCGCACCAGCATATGGTCTCACAAGGGGTCTGAGGATCTCATCTCGGTACCTAATGGCAGTCAGGCTACCTCTGGAGGGCTGTGCGGCCCCCCAAAGAAATGCCACCCCACACCATGTCTTACCCAACGCCAAACCGGTCATGCTGGAGGATGTTGCAGGCAGCAGAACATTCTCCACGGCGTCTCCAGACTCTGTCACATGTGCTCAGTGTGAACCTGCTTTCATCTGTGAAGAGCACAGGGCGCCAGTGGCGAATTTGCCAATCTTGGTGTTCTCTGGCAAATGCCAAACGTCCTGCACGGTGTTGGGCTGTAAGCACAACCCACACCTGTGGACGTCGGGCCCTCATACCACCCTCATGGAGTCTGTTTCTGACCGTTTGAGCAGACACATGCACATTTGTGGCCTGCTGGAGGTCATTTTGCAGGGCTCTGGCAGTGCTCCTCCTGCTCCTCCTTGCACAAAGGCGAAGGTAGCGGTCCTGCTGCTGGGTTGTTGCCCTCCTACGGCCTCCTCCACGTCTCCTGATGTACTGGCCTGTCTCCTGGTAGCGCCTCCATGCTCTGGACACTATGCTAACAGACACACCAAACCTTCTTGCCACAGCTCGCATTGATGTGCCATCCTGGATGAGCTGCACTACCTGAGCCACTTGTGTGGGTTGTAGACTCCGTCTCATGCTACCACTAGAGTGAAAGCACCGCCAGCATTCAAAAGTGACCAAAACATCAGCCAGGAAGCATAGGAACTGAGAAGTGGTCTGTGGTCACCACCTGCAAAACCAGTCCTTTATTGGGGGTGTCTTGCTAATTGCCTATAATTTCCACCTGTTGTCTATTCCATTTGCACAACAGCATGTGAAATGTATTGTTAATCAGTGTTGCTTCCTAAGTGGACAGTTTGATTTCACAGAAGTGTGATTGACTTGGAGTTACATTGTGTTGTTTAATTGTTCCCTTGATTTTTTTTGAGCAGTGTATATATACACACACACACACATACATACACACTTTTATCTTATAAATGACAAAATTCATAAATTGCATTCTGAAATGGCACCCTATTCCCTATATAGTGCACTACTTTTGACCAGGGCCCATAGCACTATATAGGGAATAGGGTGTGGAGCAGTAGATCAGTCCGGTTAAAGGCAGTCGGTCAGGTGAAAGGCAGTCGGTCAGGTTAACTTGATAGTAAATATCCTCCATTGTACCATTCCATTAGCACAACATTTGAAAACATGTTTCAGCTCACTGAGATCTTAGAGGCATCTTTCAGGGGGGTGGGTGTGGCAATGGGTGCGGTTTCTCTCGCTTTTCTACCCCCACCCTCTCCTTAACCATTCTCCATTCTTGTGTTTTTCTCTCTCTCCCTTATCTCTACCCCCTTCCTCTCTATTCTACTCCCCCTCTTCTACTCCGTCCCCCATTCTTGTGTTCCCCCCCCAGCCACTCAGGCGGGTGTAGAGCCGAGGAGGCAGGGCTCCCAGATGTCCACAGACACCATGGTGTCCAACCCCATGTTCGACGCCAACGAGTTCCCCGACAACTATGAGTCGGGCCGGGCCGAGGCCTGTGGGACCCTCTGCAGGATCTTCTGCAGCAAGAAGACCGGCGAGGAGATCCTGCCCGTTTACCTGTCCAGGTACCCACATGTTTAACGTAGTGTTTCCCAATCCTGGGCTTGGTGACCTAAAGGGGTGCACATTTTCTGCCCTAGCTTTAACATATTTGATTCAACTCACCTACTTGATTTGACTCCTTTTGATTATTTGAATTAGGTGTGGTAATGCTAGGGCAAAATCAAGAATGTGCACCCCTTGGGGGCCCCAGGACCAGAGTTATGTGGCTGTTCATCATACTTAGCCAGCTAACTTAATAATGCTGCTTTCTGGATTCTCCTCTAGGTCTGTCTAAAAAGCTCCACTTAGACTAAACCATTCTCTGTCTCCGCTCCCCAGGTTCTACATGGTTCTGATCCAGGGCCTCCAGATCTCCGACTACATCTGCCGACCGGTCCTAGCCAGCATCGTCCTCAACTCCTCTGCCCTCTTCTGCTCCGACCTGAAGGGCATCAACGTGGTGGTCCCCTACTTCATCTCTGCCCTGGAGAACATCCTCCCCGACCGGTGACTAATGCTACATCTATATTAAAGCTGGAATCAGTCGTGGTGAAACTGCCACGTCCGTTTGCGATATTACAAAAACAATGAAATTACGTCAAACAACGAACAAAGTTTATTTTCTCTTGGAAATCATTGCATGTGCGATAGGACAGCAGAGTATGTATGGCTTTTTTTTAAAAACAAAAACAATAACAAATGTGCTGGGTGTGAACAGTGGTGCTGTTTCTCCTAATGCGGATTCCAGCTTTTAAGTTTGCTTGCTGAAAGAATAGCTACTATTGTTCTTCCCCATACTTCTCAATATTCTAAACTCTCCAGTGCTGAAACTGCTTTTACAGTTTATACAGCTGAAGCAAGCGCACACATTTTCCTCAGGAAATGTACCTTGCCTAATTAGTCTTATGATGTTTGACAGAAAGTTAGTCAAATGGTCTCTGTTAAGGACATCTGCCTGCATAATGAATGCAGTGTTGACAGAAATCTGTGTGTTTAGCTCTTCGGGTGAAGTTTGTCTTTGTATGTTTGTCTGTTAGTGTCACACAAGGGAAATGCCCAGAAATGAACATTTTAACATAACTCACTGTATACGCTTGAAAAAAACTAAAATGTCAATGTAAGAAATAGTTTGAGGAGTCTTATCAGTGGACAATTGATTGTTGGTTAAACATGGTATCTGACTGCTGTCTCCTTTTAATGTTTGTCATTTAAGTTTAACTCCAATAACAAATATTCAAAAGGAGTTAATGACAAACATTTAAAAGGAGCCTAACTCCTTTGTATATCCTTTGAATGTTTGTCATTTTATATAAAGTAACTTGTTATTTCCTCCTTTCCAGAGAGCTGTCAAAGTTTAAGACCTACGTGAACCCAACAGACCTGAGGAGAGCCTCCATCAACATCCTGCTGTCCATGCTGCCTCTGCCACACCACTTTGGCAACGTCAAGTCAGAGGTAAACCTGTTAGTCACTTGTCATTAAAGGAACATTACACTCTAAAACCAAAGTTTGTCCCATGTTTTCAAACCTCGTAGTCTTCAAGATGCTCCAAGTCCCACACCATTGGTCTAAGGCACTGCATCGCAGTGCTAACTGTGCCACTAGAGATCCTGGTTCGAATCCAGGCTCTGTCGTAGCCGGCCGCGACCGGGAGACCCATGGGGTGGCGCACAATTGGCCCAGCGTCGTCCAGGGTAGGGGAGGGAATGGCCAGCAGGGATGTAGCTCAGTTGGTAGACCATGGCATTTGCAATGCCAGGGTTGTGGGTTCGATTCCCACGGGGGATGACACTATGAAATAATAAAAAATTCATGTATGCACTCACTAACTGTAAGTCGCTCTCTGGATAAGAGCGTCTGCTAAATGACTAAAATGTAAATGTAATTAGTTGTGTAGACACAGCTAATATGCCTTATATCAACCCTAAATTAATGAGAAAAAATGAGCACCGAATAAAATGAGGAAATGGTATGGATGGCTCTTATAATTTACATATGGATACAATCGATGGACAGGGACTTGGACTTAAATCAATGTTTAGTCGTTTTGTGTTATACTGAATTTCTACTAAACTGTCTGTTTTAGTTAACAGTTGCAATGCCCTGTAGTTCCAGAGGATTGTCTAAGTGCAAAGTCAACCACATGTATTATTTGTATGTTCCAGGTGCTCTTGGAGGGAAAGTTCAGCAACGACGACAACTCGCTGCATGACAAGGCTGTCTCCTTTGTCTCCCTCAAGCTGCGATTGGTCAACATCCTAATAGGAGCACTACAGACGGAGACAGACCCCACCAACACGCAGATGATCCTGGGTTAGTTGATCTTCATTTTATCTCCACCCATTTTCTTAATTTGACCTTTGATTGTTTTACAATGAAAAGTCTGTTATAAAATTTGATATATTATGATTTTAATAAAAGGTGGCTGAACTGAGTGATTTAGCCTCTGTTTCAATCCTCATTAGGAAATGCGACTGACAACCAGATTTGAGTCTTGGAGGCGTGCTTTGATGTAGTTGTCTCGTGTGTGTGTGTGTGTGTGTTCGAACATGGGAAACGTGCCAAAACAGTTTTCTCTTTTACATAGTGCAGAATCGCCCTTGAATGAAGATAATCATAAAGGGCCTTTTTTTCTGTACAGGTGCAATGCTCAACATTGTCCAAGACTCCGCTCTCCTGGAGTCCACCTGCGCCCAAGCGGAGGTGGTGAGTCCAATTATTTTGTTCTCCACGCTGTAGAAATGCTCACTCAACCAGAAAGACATTTGTAAAGAAAATAAACTGAACAAAACATGTAGCTAAGAGAGATCTGTAAAAACAATATATATATATTTAACCAGGAAAGAGGTTAGAAACCTGGCAAGAGGTCACCATAAATTAGTATTTAAAGGATATTTTCTACTCAAACGTATTTTAGTATTTTGTTCATTAGTCCACAAAGATGTTTTGGGTGAACTAATGAACAAAATACTCAAATCCGTTTGTTTTTGAGTGAAATATCCCTTTAATGATTTGAGCAGACTATGACAATGCCATCCCAACAGGGCATTGTGGACGGCAGCCACGCGCTGGCCAAGAGCCACAGCAGGAACACCAGCGGGGGCAGCTCCGAGGCCACCACCCCCGACAGAGAGAGGCCCACCCAGGCCCTCCTCAGGGACTACGGTGAGCCCCTTGGAGAACACACTCACACCCTGTTCCAAAATCCTAACCTGGGTTCAAATAGTATTTGCTTTCTTGGAGTGTTTCATTGTGCATGCTCTGAGTGCCAAGTGGGCGGGGTTTGCACTTTTGAGACTGTTCAGTTGGCGCCATTGTGCCAGGGAAGCTTAATCGAGAGCAGCTGAAGTATTTTAATATAAAATAAATACTGTTTGAACCAATGTCTGCCAAAATCAATCAACCAACCTCTAACCCTTCCTAGTTAGTATCCTCTAGCCCTTCCTAGTTAGTAAACTCTAGCCCTTCCTAGTTAGCAACCTCTAGCCTTTCCTAGTTAGTAAACTCAAACCCTTCCTAGTTAGTATCCTCTAGCCCTTCCTAGTTAGTCAACTCTAACCCTTCCTAGTTAGTAACCTCTAGCCCTTCCTAGTTAGTAACCTCTAGCCCTTCCTAGTTAGTAACCTCTAGCCCTTCCTAGTTAGTAACCTCTAGCCCTTCCTAGTTAGTAACCTCTAGCTCTTCCTAGTTAGTAAACTCTATCCCAGGGATCATCAACTGTAGACGGCAAATTGACCGCACGAAGCCCAAACAGATAATATTTGACTAAAACATAATAATTTCAAACCTTGCTTACATTTGTATACGATGGGAACAGATTTCCAAAATGTATATCACTTGGAGCTGATTTCTTGGTGTTTTTACAGTCTTTCATGTCCAACAATGGATTTGTTTTTATATACAGTGCTATGAAAAAGTATTTGCCCCCTTTCTAATTTTCTCTACTTTTGCATATTTGTGATACTGAATGTTATCAGATCTTCAACCAAAACCTAATATTAGATAAATGCTTCCTGTAGTTGTTGATCAGTCTCTCACGTCGCTGTGGAGGAATTTTGGCCCACTCTTCCATGCAGAACTGCTTTAACTCAGTGACGTGTGGGTTTTCAAGCATGAACTGCTCGTTTCAAGTCCTGCCACAACATCTCAATTGGGATCAGGTCTGGACTTTGACTAGGCCATTCCAAAACTTCCAATTTGTTGCTTTTTAGCAATTTTCATTTAGACTTTATTGTGTGTTTTGGATCATTGTCTTGCTGCATGACCCAGCTGCGCTTCAGCTTCAGCTCACAGACGGATGGTCTGACATTCTCCTGTAGAATTCTCTGATACAGAGCAGAATTCATGGTTCCTTCTATTAAGGCAAGTCGTCCAGGTCCTGAGGCAGCAAAGCATCCCCAAACCATCACACCACCACCACCATGCTTGACCTTTGGTATGATGTTCTTACTGTGGAATGCAGTGGAATGCAGTGTTTGGTTTTCGCCAGGCATAATGGGACCCATCTCGTCCAAAAAGTTGATTCAAGTTTGCCAAAAAGCACCTGGATGATCATCAAGACTCTTGGAAGAACGTTCTATGGACAGATGATTCAAAAGTATAACTTTCTGGACGACATGGTTCCAGTAATGCCTGGCGAAAACCAAACTCTGGAAGAGTGGACCAAAATTCCTCCACAGCGACGTGAGAGACTGATCAACAACTACAGGAAGCATTTGGTTGGAGTCATTGCAGCTAAAGGTGGCACAACCAGTTATTGAGTGTAAGGGGGCAATTACTTTTTCACACAGGGGAATTGGGTGTTGCATAACTTTGTTTATGAAATAAATATGTAATTGTTGTGTTATTTGTTCACTTATGTTCCCTTTATCTAATATTAGGTTTTGGTTGGAGATCTGATAACATTCAGTATCACAAATATGCAAAAGTAGAGAAAATTAGAAAGGGGGCAAATACTTTTTCATAGCACTGTATATACAGTGCATTCAGAAAGTATTCAGACCCCTTCCCCTTTTCCACATTTTGTTACGTTACAGCCTTATTCTAAAATGGATTAAATACATGTTTTTCCCTCATCAATCTACATACAATACCAGATGATGATGAAGCGAAAACCAGATTTTAGAATTTTTTTTGCACATGTATATAAAAAAAAAACCCCGAAATACCTTATTTACATAAGTATGCAGACCCTTTGCTATGAGACTCGAAATTGAGCTTTGGTGCATCCTGTTTCCATTGATCATCCTTGAGATGTTTCTACAACTTGATTGGAGTCCACCTATGGTAAATTCAATTGATTGGACATGATTTGGAAAGGCACACACCTGTCTATATAAGGTCCCACAGTTGACAGTGCATGTCAGAGCAAAAACCAAGCCATGAGGTCAAAGAAATTGTTCGTAGAGCTCAGATACAGGATTGTTTCGAACACAGATCTGGGGAAGGGTACCAAAACATTTCTGCAGCATTGAAGGTCCCCAAGAACACAGTGGCCACCATCATTCTTAAATGGAAGAAGTTTGGAACCACCAAGACTCTTCCTAGAACTGGCCGCCTGGCCAAACTGAGCAATCGGGGGAGAAGGGCCTTGGTCAGGGAGGTGACTAAGAACCCGATGGTGACTCTGACAGAGCTCCAGAGTTCCTCTGTGGAGATGGGAGAACCTTCCAGAAGGACAACCATCTCTGCAGCACTCCACCAATCAGGCCTTTATGGTAGAGTGATCAGACGGAAGCCACTCCTCAGTAAAAGGCACATGACAGCCCACTTGGAGTTTGCCAAAAGGCATTTAAAGGCCTCAGACCATGAGAAACAAGATTCTCTGGTCTGATGAAACCAAGATTGAACTCTTTGGTCTGAATGTCAAGCATCACATCTAGAGGAAACCTGGCACCATCCCTACGTTGAAGCATGGTGGTGGCAGCATCATGCTGTGGGGATGTTTTTCAGTGGCAGGGACTGGGAGACTAGTCAGGGTCAAGGGAAAGATGAACAGAGCAAAGTACAGAGATCCTTGATGAAAACCTGCTCCAGAGTGCTCAGGACCTCAGACTGGGGCGATGGTTCACCTTCTAACAGTACACCAACCCTATGCACACAGCCAAGACAACGCAGGAGTGGCTTCAGGACAAGTCTCTGAATGTCCTTGAGTGGCCCAGCCAGAGCCCAGACTTGAACCTGATCTAATCTCTGGAGAGACCTGAAAATAGCTGTTCAGCGACGCTCCACATCCAACCTGACAGAGCTTGAGAGGATCTGCAGAGAAGAATGGGAGAAGGGTCTGAATACTTACGTAAATGTGATATTTCCGATTTTTTTATTTTTTATACATTTACAAGCAATTCTACAAACCTGTTTTTACTTTGTCATTATGGGGTATTGTGTATAGATTGATGAGGGGGGAAAAAACTATTTAATCAATTTTAGAATAAGGCTGTAACGTAATAAAATGTGGAAATAGTCAAGGGGTCTGAATACTTCAGTATTGTTTCTATAATAGTTTTGAAAGTTGACAGTTTTTTCCCTTTTTTTTTTTATTCCTGTCAGTCATGCTTTAGTTTTATAGTAGACATGTATGACGTTGGGTGAAGGTGATTCCCTAATGAACCAAAAAGGCATTCTTATTTTCATATTTGCAGGAATGCTGTGTAATTTCAATGATACTATACTATACTTATATTATCACAATGCAGACAGTCGTGTGTCTGTTGTCTCTTGCTAGCTTTTCTCGCTATACAGCGTGTGCAACTTGTGCATAAACATCTTAACTGCATGCATTAGTGTATACAGCATATGCATGTTGTTTTATTAGAGCTGGAATATGAGCCAAGACGTGGAGTGAATCTATGCATTTCCTTGATTCCTCATGTCCTCCTTCCTTGTCTCCTTCTCAAAGTACATTGGAGCAGAAATCTGAGATCTTCTTCTCCAATGTGTTTTGGAGGAGGAGGCAAGGAGAGAATGAAGGAAATACAATTGAGATTCATCCCCAAGTTATACCCACTGACTGGCTGCAAATGTCTTTCATAATAGCTACATACTGGGCAAATACATGGCTGTGCTGAACGTCAACTAAATGCAGGCACCCTCTTGTGTGCAGCAACTGTACTGCAATTTCTTGGTTTTCTCTGACAAGTTCATTTCAAACAGAAATATATTTTTTACTTGAAGTATTTCCTTTTCCTTCATCTTAATTTTAACCTCTAAGTGTCCGAAAGACACTTACAAACAAACACAGCTCTATTTTGAGAAACATTGCATGTTTGGTAAAATTGTCCTAGTTTTGGCTACCGTTCTATTGGCAACAAACATGGTTTAAACCAGGGCTGGGTTCAATTCATGAATTGAAAAATGTATATTTTCTTCTAATGAGGATTTTTCAATTAATTGAAAATTGAATTTGACCTAATACAACCACAATATCCAACCTCATAAGGACTGCTCATATAGTACTGTCGACGTTCTGATTGCTGTGTGTGTATGTAAAGGCCTAAGTGTAGCTGCCGCTTATTGGACGTGCTCTGCCTGGTCCAGTAGTTACTAACCCCAGCTCTCCTTCTCTGCTCGTGGTGGTGTGACGTGGCGTGGTATGGCATCTTCTTCTGGGGGGTCATATCCCTAGCTCTCCACACAGATACAGCAGCCGGCCTGCTGATCCGCAGCATCCACCTGGTCACCCAGAGGCTCAACTCCCAATGGAGGCCCGACATGAGCATCTCCCTGGCCGCCCTGGAGCTGCTGGCCGGCCTTGCCAAGGTAAAGCCGCAGGGTCCTGTTCATTAGGGCACACAACGTTTTAAAATGATCGTTTTAGGACACCAAGTGGGCATCTGGAGCTGTCAACAACACCTACATTGTCCATTAAAGCAAATTAAAACCCTACATTGTAAGGTGACGGTGGACAACAAAACCAGCATGGCTTTCCTTTCCCATGTTAGTAATCGTTGTGGAAACAACAAACCATATGAGGTGGCCAGACAAATATGAAAAGGCTATGATAATGAACACATACTGCCACTGCAATAGAGATGAATAAGAGCCAGGAGATTCTACAACACAGACACTTTCAGTTGTAGTTCACTGAACTCTGCTGGATCTCCCTCCTCCTCAGGTGAAGGCGAGTGTGGAGTCTGCAGACCGTAAACGTGCGATCAGCTCGGTGTGCGGTTACATCGTGTACCAGTGCAGCCGGCCGGCCCCCCTCCACTCCAGAGACCTCCACTCTATGATCGTGGCAGCCTTCCAGTGCCTGTGTGTGTGGCTGATAGAACACCCTGACATGCTCAATGAAAAGGTAGAGGGACCACAACAACACCTACTATATGGACTACTGGTTCCCCAGTTTAAGCCTAGTAGGCTACTAGAAAGCAATTTTAATGACAAATGATTCAAAGGCATTTGATCCACAATTAGTCTCATTTGATATTTCCTTCTATATTGTTTTTGAGTGTGTTTTGGTCCAGGACTAGGCTTAATCTGTGTTTTTACTGTTCTGTCCATCTAAGAATGGCCAAGGTGCATAAAGATGGAATAAATCAGCTCAATCTACATTTTAGATTTTTGAAATTGCTTGCATCTGGGAATGACAGTTGGGATCATGTATAACGTGCTAATGCAGATACAAAAGAGTAATGGTGAGCAAGCTGCAATACGACAAACTTAGAAAACAAGGCATTTGTGGTACTGCATGGAGGCTGCCATGTTTATGCACAGCCACCTTTTGGACTTCAAACAGCTTATCACTATAGAAGCAAATATCAAGCTTTGAGTTGTGAAAAGTGTGGGTCAAATCTTCCTTTTGAATCATTCATCATTCAAATGGTCACAAATCCTCCATTTGACGTCATTACATGATTTACTTTTTGTTAATTTTTTTATTCTCTCTGCCTTATATGAGCACTCTAAACTCACCACCTGACTTTTGTGCTGTGCAATGACGTAGCGTTTTGTTGCAGGACTGTTTGATAGAGGTCCTGGAGATCGTGGAGCTGGGCATATCGGGCAGCAAGTCCAAGACGGGTGACCAGGAAGTGAGGTACAAAGGGGACAAGGAGCACAACCCGGCCTCCATGAGGGTGAAGGATGCTGCTGAGGCCACCCTGTCATGGTGAGTGCCACCTGAGAGGAGTAATGGGAATATATTGTTATGTTGTTTAGGGAAAGATTATTATTATTATTATTATTATTAAGATGCATTGCCTTTAGTGCTCTCTTTTATGGGCAATCTGTGATTGGTACATCCGTTTTTGGACTTAATGATATATGTGACCAGTTTCAAGTTTTGAGGCGTTTGACGCCAGTTCCTACTTCACAGTAGGGCCGTTAGAAATCTTTTGTATTATTCGATTTCTTTTCCATAAATGCCTTCTTGAACATGTGAACTTTCATGTGCCTTAATTACAAACTTGTATGGGACTCATAAATAAAAATGTTAAATTATGAGCCTAGTTTAGCCAATGAGAAAGCACTGAGCTATACAGAAGAAGGAAAAGATCCCTCCTGGCTAGTCATGATTGGCATGATTGAGATAATGGAGTGGTTGGACATGCCGAGAGATGAGTCCTGACTGCTCTGTCACAGGCTCCTGTCTGTAACAGAATGGGGGCTTCCCTGGTCAGTATATAGACCTTCTTTGCTACTGCAGATTTGGGGAAAATATAGCTATGGACAACTGCAAAAGTGTTGCTATAGCTCTCAAAAACATGGCTGCCCTGAATTTAGCTGTATTTAAGTACATGGAGTACTTTCTGGAGGACAATGTCATGCTGACCCATATGTGGGTGGGGCTAAGGCTTAAGAAGGTGTGAACGATGATGAATGGTCGTAAACAAAGAAGAGCTCTCTAGGAAGTGTGAAAGTCTCATCAAAATCTTTCAAAGGGCATTTTCTCCTACATTTTTTTTTACATTTTTACATTTTTAGTTATTTAGCAGACGCTCTTATCCAGAGCGACTTACAGTTAGTGAATACATTTTTATTTTATTTTTTCATACTGGCCCCCCGTGGGAATCTAACCCACAACCCTGGCATTGCAAATGCCATGCTCTACCAACTGAGCTACCTCCCTGCCGGCCATTCCCTCCCCTACCCTGGACGACGCTGGGCCAATTGTGCGCCGCCCCATGGGTCTCCCGGTCGCGGCCGGCTACGACAGAGCCTGGATTCGAACCAGGATCTCTAGTGGCACAGCTAGCACTGCGATGCAGTGCCTTAGACCACTGCGCTACTTAACCCTTAGGTGGGATAACACGTTTGTCAACTTTTAAAGCTGCATATCTTCCCCATGTTTCTTCCAACTACAGTGTATGACAATAAGCAAACCACTTACATTTTATATAAGCCTCAATAGAGAAATCAAAATGAGGTGGAAACTGAACTGCACTTCCTAACCTCCTGACAAATGTATGACCATATTAGAAACACATATTTGATACACTGCCGATTTTGCAGGTTTTCCTACTTACAAAGCATGTAGAGGTCTGTAATGTTTTATAATAATAATAATAATAATAATAATAATAATAATAATATGCCATTTAGCAGACGCTTTTATCCAAAGCGACTTACAGTCATGCGTGCATACATTTTTGTGTATGGGTGGTCCCGGGGATCGAACCCACTACCTTGGCGTTACAAGCGCCGTGCTCTACCAGCTGAGCTACAGAGGACCACCCATCATAGGTACACTTCAACTTTGAGAGACGGAATAAAAAAAAAAACATTGTATGATTTTTAAGTAATTAATTTGCATTTTATTGCATGACATAAGTATTTGATCACCTACCAACCAGTAAGAATTCCGGCTCTCACAGACCTGTTAGTTTTTCTTTAAGAAGCCCTCCTGTTCTCCACTCATTACCTATATTAACTGCACCTGTTTGAACTCGTTACCTGTATAAAAGACACCTGTCCACACACTCAATCAAACAGACTCCAAGCCCTCCACAATGGCCAAGACCAGAGAGCTGTGTAAGGACATCAGGGATAAAATTGTAGACCTGCACAAGGCTGGGATGGGCTACAGGACAATAGGCAAGAAGCTTGGTGAGAAGGCAACAACTGTTGGCGCAATTATTAGAAAATGGAAGAAGTTCAAGATGACGGTCAATCACCCTCGGTCTGGGGCTCCATGCAAGATCTCACCTCGTGGGGCATCAATGATCATGAGGAAGGTGTGGGATCAGCCCAGAACTACACGGCAGGACCTGGTCAATGACCTGAAGAGAGCTGGTACCACAGTCTCAAAGAAAACCATTAGTAACACACTACGCCGTCATGGATTAAAATCCTGCAGCGCACGCAAGGTCCCCCTGCTTAAGCCAGCGCATGTCCAGGCCCGTCTGAAGTTTGCCAATGACCATCTGGATGATCCAGAGGAGGAATGGGAGAAGGTCATGTGGTCTGATGAGACAAAAATAGAGCTTTTTGGTCTAAACTCCACTCGCCGTGTTTGGAGGAAGAAGAAGGATGAGTACAACCCCAAGAACACCATCCCAACCGTGAAGCATGGAGGTGGAAACATCATTCTTTGGGGATGCTTTTCTGCAAAGGGGACAGGACGACTGCACCGTATTGAGGGGAGGATGGATGGGGCCATGTATCGCGAGATCTTGGCCAACAACCTCCTTCCCTCAGTAAGAGCATTGAAGATCGGTCGTGGCTGGGTCTTCCAGCATGACAACGACCCGAAACACACAGCCAGGGCAACTAAGGAGTGGCTCCGTAAGAAGCATCTCAAGGTCCTGGAGTGGCCTAGCCAGTCTCCAGACCTGAACCCAATAGAAAATCTTTGGAGGGAGCTGAAAGTCCTTATTGCCCAGCGACAGCCCCGAAACCTGAAGGATCTGGAGAAGGTCTGTATGGAGGAGTGGACCAAAATCCCTGCTGCAGTGTGTGCAAACCTGGTCAAGACCTACAGGAAACGTATGATCTCTGTAATTGCAAACAAAGGTTTCTGTACCAAATATTAAGTTCTGCTTTTCTGATGTATCAAATACTTATGTCATGCAGTAAAATGCAAATTAATTACTTAACAATCATACAATGTGATTTTCTGGATTTTTGTTTTAGATTCCGTCTCTCACAGTTGAAGTGTACCTATGATAAAAATTACAGACCTCTACATGCTTTGTAAGTAGGAAAACCTGCAAAATCAGCAGTGTATCAAATACTTGTTCTCCCCACTGTATATATACATAATGACATTTGAAATGTCTTTATTCTTTTGGAACTTCTGAGTGTAATGTTTACTGTTAATATTTATTGTTTATTTCACTTTTGTTTGCGATCTACTTCACTTACTTTGGCAATGTTAACATACGTTTCCCATGCCAGTAAAGCCCTTAAATTGAAATTGAAATCCGGAAACATATAACCATTGTTTCTTGAAGATGCCTCATGAGCTTAGTTCAACTGTCATACCACATCAGAACCCAAAATATAAACTTGTACTGCATTGTTTGTAACGTAAATGTAAACAAACACTGTATAGCCTCAAAACATGTTTAAAACAATATATATATTTATTTTTTGTGTGTGTGTGTGTCATTTAGCAGACGCTCTTATCCAGAGTGACTTACATGAGCAATTAGGGTTAAGTGCCTTGCTCAAGGGCACGTCGACAGATTTTTCACCTAGTCGGCTCGGGGATTAGAACCAGCGACCTTTCGGTTACTGGCACAACGCTTTTAACCACTAAGCTACCTGCCGCCCATGTTTTTGGTTTTATGGATGGTCAGTCCTTGAATCCATAGGTCTGTTTATGAATTTGAGAGTGGTTAAATTTTCCAGCCCCATCCCTTAGCTGTTAACCAAAAGTTTCGGGGTCACTGCTTTGTTGTTTGAAATACATATTGCCCCTTTAACTAAACTACACCTCTTGTTTTTGTGGACAGCTGAGGTCAAATGTATAGTTTTAACCATGTTTTGAAGCTATACAGTGTGTTTACAATAACTTTGTTCGCAAATGTCTTACTTCATCAAAGCCGTTGGGTTATATGCAGTATCCACGCCTATTTATATCTTGTTGGGTTGTATGCAGTATCCACGGCTATTTATATCTTGTTGTGCAGTATGCAGTATCCACGCCTATTTATATCTTGTTGGGCAGTATGCAGTATCCACGCCTATTTATATCTTGTTGGGTTATATGCAGTATCCACGCCTATTTATATCTTGTTGGGTTATATGCAGTATCCACGCCTATTTATATCTTGATGGGCAGTATGCAGTATCCACGCCTATTTATATCTTGTTGGGTTATATGCAGTATCCACGCCTATTTATATCTTGTTGGGTTATATGCAGTATCCACGCCTATTTATATCTTGTTGGGTTATATGCAGTATCCACGCCTATTTATATCTTGATGGGCAGTATGCAGTATCCACGCCTATTTATATCTTGTTGGGTTGTATGCAGTATCCACGCCTATTTATATCTTGTTGGGTTATATGCAGTATCCACGCCTATTTATATCTTGTTGGGCAGTATGCAGTATCCACGCCTATTTATATCTTGTTGGGTTATATGCAGTATCCACGCCTATTTATATCTTGATGGGCAGTATGCAGTATCCACGCCTATTTATATCTTGTTGGGTTGTATGCAGGATCCACGCCTATTTATATATTGTTGGGTTGTATGCAGTATCCACGCCTATTTATATTTTGTTGGGCTGTATGTAGAATCCGGGTCTATTTATATATCTTGTTGGGCTGTATGCAGTATCCACGCCTATTGGAGTCTGTATATCTTGTTAATGCAGTATCCACACCTTTTAGAGCCTGTATATCTTGTTAATGCAGTATCCACACCTATTAGAGCCTGTATATCTTGTTAATGCTGTATCCACACCTATTAGAGCCTGTATATCTTGTTAATGCAGTATCCACATCTATTAGAGCCTTTATATCTTGTTAATGCAGTATCCACATCTATTAGAGCCTGTATATCTTGTTAATGCAGTATCCACATCTATTAGAGCCTATATATCTTGTTAATGCAGTATCCACACCTATTAGAGCCTGTATATCCTGTTAATGCTGTATCCACACCTATTAGAGCCTTTATATCTTGTTAATGCAGTATCCACACCTTTTAGAGCCTGTAT